GTGGTATGCCGAGTTTATTGCAAGCTGTAAATAATTCAGGCCTTCGGACCAATTTTTTTGATTTTCTCCGTAAAAGGCTACTAATGCTGTTTTCAAATCCCTGAGAACTCTTTCTGCTTTGCTGGGGTTGGGATAATGACGAATTAGATATTCGGGTTGTACCGCGTGCGTCATTAAAGATTCTCTATATATTTTGGAGCGAAATATAGATGCATTGTCCGACACGACCTTTCCCCAGAATCCAAAGCATGGAAATATTTTGGTATGTATGATATTAACGACTGTTTGAGCAGTTGCAGTCCTGGTTTGGGTAATAATCGTGTACCGCGAAAAATCGTCAACAGCGATAAAAATATATCTGTACCCGAAACTATTAGGTAGTGGGCCGGCGAAATCAATAAAAAGTTTTTCACAAGGTCGTTCTGAACTAAAGCTTGACATTTTCCCTTGCGGTAATGTTTGAGGAATTTTAGTACGTGCACATTGTAAACATTGATTGACCCGATCAATCACAAAGCGTTTCATCCCCTGAAAAAAGAAAAGGTCTCTAATTTTGTTAAGTGTCCTTGAAATTCCAAGGTGGCCACCAATTAATGAGGAATGATAATATTTAAATATTAGATCTTGAAGTGACTTAGGAACGACAGCTCTTAATCTATTTTTTTCTAGGACATAATATAACCTTGCATTTTTTAAAACATATTTTTCATGATTTTTGCCCTCTTTAATATTTTCAATTAATGTTTTAAGTTCTGGGTCTAGTTTTTGCTCCCTGTTGAAATCTTTGAAGCATTCGGGAATTGTATGTAAAATGTTTATTTCTGTCTTATTTTTGTTATCTACGTCCTCAACCGGATTACGTGATAAATAATCGGCAATTGTATTTTGTTTTCCATTTATGTGCTTAACTTTGTATCTAAACGACATTAAACGAATCGCAAACCGCGCATGTCGACCGCCCTGATGTTGCATGTTAATAACACTGGTAAGGGCCTTATGGTCTGTGTATAAATCGAATTCATCGTGTTCTAGAAAAACGCGGAACTTTTCAAGGGCAAAGATAATGGCTAGAGCTTCTAAGTCATAAGCTCCATAGTTTTCTTCGGCTTGTTTAAGCTTTCTCGAGGCGAACGCTATTGGCTTCCAAGCCCGATCGACCTCTTGTGCTAAACATGCCGAAACTCCGAGTTTACATCCATCGGTGAAAAGGCAGAATCTTTTGGTAAAGTCAGGGGTAGATAAAATAGGGGGAGTCGTTATTCTATGCCGCAAATTTTCCCATGCCTGTTGGCATTCTTGGGTCCAAATTAGTTGAGACTTCTTTTTTCTCAGTTCATTAAGAGGCTGAGCAATTTTCGCTAAGTCCGGTATAAAGCGAGAGAAAAAATTGATAGAGCCCATAAATTGGGCTACTCCACGAGGTGTCTTGGGTCTAGGTATTTCTAGGATAGCGCGAATGCGTTCTGGGTCGATAGATACCTCTTTATGTTTTATTTTGTGCCCTAAAAAGTTAATTTCGGACTGCGCAAGTTGTATTTTCTGAGGGTTAACGGTTAGCCCCGATTTCCTTAACCGATTAAAAAATACTGTTAAATGATTAATGTGCTCCTCGTAGCTGTTTGAATAAATAACTAAATCATCAAAATAAAAAAATAAAAATTTAAATATTAGATCACCGAAAATCTTTTCGAGTAACATGGACAAAACTTGTCCCCCTGTGGCTAAGCCGAAAGGTACCCGTCTAAAGGCATAAGTACCCCACGGGACTTGGAATGAAGTTAACCTTTGGGAATTTTCGCTAATAGGGATTTGGTTGTAGGCGCTATTTAAGTCAAAAACAGAGAAATATTTTCCGGAGCGTAAATGGATGATGGCCTCCTCTATAGTGGGGATTTGGTGAGCAATGTAATTCATTTTTGAATTAAGTTCTCTATAGTCGATGACAAGCCTGAAATTCTTTTGACCATCTCCTGTTGGTTTTTTTGGGACAAGGAAGCAGGGTGAAGTAAAATGTGACGTCACGGGTACAATAACTGAATCTTTCAGGAGTTGGTCGATCTTAGATTTAAGAATCTGGTACCGCTCGGGCCCTGAGCGGTAGCAGACCCTCGATTTGCGAGAATCCAAGACGACTCCTTCCTTCAGAGTGATATCGTATGTCATGACGTTCGTACAACCCAATTTAGGAGTGAGGATATCCGGATAAGATTCTTGAAAGAGTTTATAAACATTTTCGGGCCTCACCCTTGTGAATACGTTTACGTTTTGGTGGTCGGGTGGGGTGAGCGGGATTGTAATTAAAGGGTTAAATTTGAAGAAAACTTTTGCATTTGCCGGGTCTATGGACATATGAGTTTTTCCTAAAAAGTCTAAGCCTAGGATAATTTGTGATGGTAAATTAGGTACAATTAAGAGTTCATGATTCCATGAAAATTTGCCAACTTTTATGTGCGCGTTTACTTTATGGTTGATTCTAATTTTTTCGGAATTTCCTACAATTATTGACATTGAGCAGGGTGATTTTTTAATAAATTGTATGTGATTTAGAATTTTTAAAAATTGTGGTTGAATGCAAGATATACCCGCACCTGTATCTAAGAGAGCATTGACTCTATAATTATTTACTTTGACAAAAATATGATTGTAATAGATGCTTTTTTTACTTATGTTCATAATTGATTCATTTAATGTAGCATAGACCCGGTTTTCTAGTTTTTTGGTTCTTGAAAAGAGTGATTTTGTTCTTCCGTGCACGGATTATATTTATTTTTAGATCGGGGTTCAGTTTTGGGTTGAGAGTATGATTGTTGAGGTCGTGTCCGTGTAAATTGTTTATCAGGCGAATTATTTACGTAGTACGGCTTAGGAGCGTTATCACTTAAATGCCTATTTCTTTCAATTATTTTTGAATTGTCCTTGCTTTCTTGGATTGAAAACTGTGTACCTTGATTTTTATTTTTTCTAGTAACTTGTTATTGCACTGAGGGTTATTTTTCTTTGAACAATTGAGTCTTGAAATTTGTCTGAACAGTTGGAAAATGTTCCTTGTTTTGACCAGATCCATTCTTATTAAATTGAAATTTTGGGATTACATTATTTCCCCGGCTCCCCGGAGAAGGAGTTGCTGTATTTTGATTATATAGATTTGCCCGGAAATTTCTATAGCGGAAGTTACTGTAATTTGATCTTTGCCAGTCCGTCTTAACTGCTACTTCGAGCCGTTCTACTTGTAAAATTAAATTCTCTAATTCCTGCAAATTGTTTGGCTTTTCCATAAATTGAAAACGAGTTCGCGTGTTAAGGTTTACTCCCGATATAATAATATCCAAAATCTCGGATTCTGAGTAATTTCCTAGTATACTTGCAGATTTTCTTATGTCATAAACATAGTCCCTAAAAGATTCGTTATTCTTTTGTGGTCTCAAAACTTTACGGGATATTAAAAAGGTACGAGTACGGACATTAATTAATTGGGTAATTACATAATTTGAAACATATGGAAATTTTATTTCATTGTCGCCCGCACAACTTAAAATCTGCGTTAGGATTGAATTCGATTGGATTACTCCGATTCGCCGAAAGATTTCATTGAACCATTGCGCGTTATTGATATTTAAATCGTACATTTTTTCGATGAACGATATGATGGACCATGGATCGTTGGTTTTAAACTGTGGAACGTCGTTTATTAGGCTCTCGAGATATCTAGGGAACTTATGGTTGGAAACTGCTGAAGGCATGTGTACTGTGGCTTCGTCCTGTAGGGAATTATCTAAAGTGACGTTCTGATCGGGGGTACTTTCAAATTTGGGATCTGTGTTTTTTGGTAGTTTTTGTGTTTTTTTATTTAACTGTTGTTTTATTGCTTCGTTTTGTTCTTGCAGCGATTTTATTAACTCTAGAGCCTGGTTTAATTGTCTCGTCAAGTCGGCTATTTGTTTGTGTGATGAGTTACCTTTGCAATTATTACATTTCCAAGAGTCGCGCCTGGCCATTGACATTTTTATCCATGCCTCCCTCTTTCCAATGTTATCACATGCAAAATGAAACATATCTTTACAAACCGAACAGATAGAAGAATCATCCGCAATGGCTGGTATTGCACATGCTTTACATAAATTAGCATTTACATCATGGGTTTGGGGGAGTGGATCTTGAGTTTGTATATTTGATGTCATTTTGCAAATTATTTTAATTTTAGAATCGGTTGCTTTTGTTTATTCTACAGAGGATTAACTGATAGGCGTTCAACAGGCGCCGCTCCGGTTAATTCCTTCTTAAACATTTCAATTTCTGTATTCGAAAATAAATTTACGTGGATTTAAAGGATAGGAATAATAAAATTAACGAAATTAAAAGTTATTAAAGTTGGCGCATGCAGTAGGCAAAATGATAAAAACAAAATAACAATAACAGTAGGAACATAGGAAAATACAAATTATTTTTTTTATTAATTTATCCTTAAACCAGAGTTCGCAGATCGCAACTATTAGTAGGTGTATTACTGAAAATGATATCTCTGCTACCATGTGTGACGATCATTTGTTCGACCGCCTTACTATTAGGCCGATATTCTGACTCGAATATCTGCCCTAAGTGATACTCCTGTCACTGTTGTATTATCAAAGGTATAAAAGGTATAACACAAAATATAACTAAAATTAAACAAACTATTTATTCCAAAACTAAAATAAAATATAATTGGTTTCTTCCCGATAACAAAAATATAACAAACGTAAAACAAATCTATATACAGAATTGAGTGACAAACATAGATCCCGTCACCAAGATTGTGGCCTCCACTCAAACTTACTTGTATTAATACAATTATGATTTCTATTGATTTCCCTACGTCCCTCGCCCTTGGCTGCAGAAGTACACCTGAGCCCAAACCTCCCACGATCTTACCGGCGCTAGGTCGCCTCTTGATGGGAGGGGGCAATGGACAATGTGTGATAGTAGCGCTCAGTCACAGTATAATACTCAATAAAAGTGCTATACATACTTAAGACTTGGGGGCGTCGGTGGCCGCAATGGTTTAGGCGTTGACACGGCGCTCATCACTGTAAGGTAAAGGTCCCGGGTTCGAATCCAGCGGCCCTGCATTCGAACCCGACATACATACAAATGGGCTTCTTTTTTTTTTTCTTTTTTTTTTTCAAAAACACCGGCATCCTGAGTGTTTATATGACCTCTGCTGTTGCGAACCCTCGTAAAAAAATAATACTACGAAATTAATTCATAACTTGTATGCTTTAATGTTTTACCAAATCTCGGAAAAAATGAACGGAAAAATGTTAAAGGAATAATCGATCATCGGTCAAAATATAAAACTATACTCGGGCAATCCCATACCACTGTAATGCAAGAATGGAAAGAATGAAGCTTCTTGTTTGAGTTTTAGTCGACTTAAGTTGACTTTACTTTGTTATCAATGATTTCGTTCTATTTATCCTGTTACTAAAGATTTTAAGGTTACAATTTATTTCTCAGCATAAAATTTAGATTCGGATATGGTTGGTAGACTAACGTTTCGGATAATGTCTCATAAAAGGTATAATAAATTGTTTGTGTGTTGTTTTGACTGTAAGACCAGTCCAGACCAACAAACAGGAAAGGATTGTATGGGAATGGCGCAGCTGGTTCTACTTACACTTGAGCCAGACAGAGGGCGTTTAATTAAAAACTTGTCCTTATCCCCGGTTGTTACAGTTGGGATGGAAAGGAGGGCAGAATGTTGGGAGCCTTCGTACTGTTGGTATATTCTATTTACATTTAGCTCGGGCCCGTTTCCGGAGCGGGAGACCTCGTCTTCCTCCGGCAATTAGCAATAATTCTCCACAAATCCTTCTCAACTCCAAGATTTCTTCAACGGAATTCATTCTGCAAGGATCTCGCACAAACCGATTCAAATGAGCACCGATCATTCTTCAACTAGGCCACTTAATAAATATAAGAGTTAGAAGAGATTCGATTTAAATCATTTCGAGCCATGAGTTTGAGGTCCTCTTTTTACGTTCGTTCTGTTTTCTTTTTACTTGCTTTATTTTTAATTCTTGCGGATTTCCTTTCCTGAACCGTCATACCACCGCCTTAATTTATTTCTTAATTACTCGCATTCTTCAATCGTAGAGTTTGGACTATAACGACATGGTGTAACATATTTCTTCCTAATTATGCATACACGTTCCTCACACCTCTGACCTTTTGGTCTCTTCATAATGGTAAAGGCTTTGATAAGTTTTGAAATGAAACAACAATTTATGTATGTTCCTTTCTCAATATACTGAAACGTTTTTAAAAATTGTAGTTTATACTATAAAAAGAAAAACAGAAAATTCAGTCTTATAATTTTTCATTCATCCCTTCACAAAGCATCACCTTGTTTTAACTCCAAAATTTAAAAAAGTGGCTTAGTTAAGGTTATCTCATACATCGATAGTCAATATTTATTAACAATTTTTATAAATCTTTAAAGTAATTGTAATGTTAACTTAAATTTCTTAAGAGTACGTAATATTATTTAAATTTGTAAATTGAATTTACTTTAAATTTTAATAATAATGATGTTGATAAGAATCATCATCATCTTTTTGCAGCGAGTCATTCATTCTTCGTTAATAAGGTCAATTTAAGTTATAATTAATGAGTAATCTATATCGAATATAAGTTCGTTCAACTACGAGATTAAATGAATCCTCGGTGTGCGAGTATTCTTGAAAAAAACAAATATTTCCTAAGTATGTTCTGTTCATTTCAGGGATTCGAACCCGGGACCTTTAGCTTACAGTGCTGGGTTGTCGTGACAACGCTGTAATCGTTGCGTCCACCTATGTGGACTCCCTTAATTTCAAAGATGAATCTAATGTAGCTTTGTTTTCAATAAATGTGATGATAATATTAATAACTTGATAGTCACTGTATTGCAGGAGGTGAGCTAATGGTGACACTCCCGCCCAATGAATCAACGTTAGCAGATGTATGAGCTGTCGCCTCAAACGGTCGAGACGTGGAAAATTAATAATAATAATAATCTGATGAAATATTGATAAGAAATAGTGAAATTGTCAATAAAATATAACAATATTCTCTGTTTTATAATATAATCAGAAAAAAAAAAAACTTTTTTTTAAAGAGATATTGAAGGGAGTATTACGAATTTGTCTTAGCATTCTGCATCGGAAAGACCAGTTGACTCCCGAACTTTAGAACTTAGGTGTAATGAAAGTTTTGTAAATATGTACTAATTTTGTACGTTAAATTCGACTTTCGTCTTGTCTCACAGTTCCCAAATCTCTTGTCGGTTACCACAGTCCGAAGTAGCATGCAGTCGAGGTATGATCGATCTTTGTGTTAATCCTTTTAGCTCTGTTTGGTCCTGTTAGATCGAGAAAAATGTTGACGTAGACTTGTAAGAATCGGCTCGTTAACATCGCTCGATCTAACAGGCCACGGCCAATGTTAGATGTTAGGTCGAAAATGTAGTCGCATTGCCTCCGTTAGGGCGTAGGTAACCAACATGGCAGCCATGAATTTAACAGCTGTTTTTTGTTTACACGTATTTTTATTTTTAAATACACATTAATTACATCTGGCCAATACATTTCTTTTGTTGATTTCTGACCTGTCATTATACTCCCATTCACAGTAGATACATCTCCTATCCTACAAAATTGTAGGCTGTTAGACGTTAGGATACAAGTTAGGTATGTCGGCAAGACTTGAAGCGTGTCATTGTTAGTACTTATCGAGTGCATATATAGCATTTTGAATGAAAGGGTTGATTAATTTTCCCTTTTTATTAACTTCTGGCATCTGACAATTTAACACAAAACAAAACCAAAACGCCACGTTCAGTATTGCGGAACAATTAACGTTTAAAATGCTAAGATAAGAAGGGGGCATCAGTTTACGATCTTACTGAACATTTCTCTATTCGAATTAACACGGGTTAACATCTTACAAACATCGTGAATACAGTCGTTGTAAGGATTGCATTCATACGTAAAGGAGGCAAACCGATCATCTTAATATAAATTGTGACCTATGCAAACTTGTCTTCATTTCCGAGATCCAGATTTTATGTGAATAAATGAGAGTTTTATAGAATAAAAGTATGAAATCTATTTTAACTTTGCAATGAAACTATTCATTTTTAATTCTTTCATGGAGATACAGTAGTATAAACTTGGAGTAATACGAAAGAAAATGCACACAACGATTTACAAAATTAAACCTAATATTTGAATTAAACAACATCTATTCCAACTCTTCGGAAAATACCATGTTCTTCTTCATGTTTTCTCACGCGTGAGCGTCTATTAGTTTATACCGAAGATTTTTCCTCAAATAATTTGTATATTTTAAGTTCTTTCAAAGTGTCTACCTTATACTGGATTGCTTTGAGTTTGAGGCACCGGTCTGGAAATGACAAATGGCGCTACTTTTGAATCATCAACAGGTCCGAGCTTTTGTGGCCAGTTCATATTTCTAGGGACTTGCCTACAGGTGGTTCCCCAAGAAACCCAATACTCCGTCTACTAACCTTTCCCGTCTTGTGGCACCCGCTTGTGGATTAAACGGATTCCCACTAACTTTATGGCAATCTACAACAATTTTGCTTAAGTACACCTGATCATTTAATACGTTCAATAAACATATTTGTAACATTCATATTTTTCAACTATAATATACTTTAAAAAAATAAACAGGCACTCGTATTTTGTTGTTTATTTCAAACAATATATATTTGTATCACTATATTTATTACAACATTCTTGTTTTTATGTAAACCAAATTAAACGAGATCAGAAATTCATGATTTTAATATAAATGTCTTAATGATGATGGTTTGAAAGAAAATTCACCATACACCAGAGTGATAGAGTCAATTTACCTAATAATTTATTGCCTGATTTTGCCCATATTAAAGAATTAAGAGCATAATTTGGTAATAAATTGTTAGTTAAATTTTAATCTACCACTACATTTTTGCCGGTGAATTTTCTTTCAAACATCATAACATACGTATGTTGTAATTAATATAACGATAAAAATGCAAACAATTTGAAATAAACAAAATACGTACGGTGTATGGTTTTTTGTCTTTCAGTATATATAATACAACTTATATACCAAATACAAATTTAAAAATTGTAATAAAGTTGTTCACAAAATTGTTGGTAGGTTTAATATCAGAATGATAACAGATTTGTTCGAACTTTCACCCCCAAGAGTTGTCACTCCCCGATATGCTGACCCTACACAATTAGGGTATACTTCTTAACCCAGATGCCCAGGAGATCGTCGCTTCCCTACCAACGGGGCCATCAACAACTAGATCATTTCAGCCCCAAAACAGTGCAAACTATAATCTAGTCTAGTAACTACTTAACCGGATAAATCAATCGCACAAATAATTTCATTCATACTGATTAACCTACTCACAGCATTACTAATATAATTTAAATTATGGTCGATGGGGCACTTTAATAAACATTCCGCCATCGACTCTAAACACACACAATGTTGGAGACGCTATATTTCACCATAACCCCTCATCACCTACACTAATAAATACACTCATTCAAACAAAACACTTAATGACAAGGCATATAGACTATAACTATTTACAATTATAAAAAAAACCACGTTCTCTAAACAGATTTATTAATAACGAGTTTTCTGTTTTTAGGTAAAGGATTATATGTATAATTTCTCTACCGTCTTGACATTCATAACACTCATCATGAAATAGCAGAATAAATGTTGAAAAGAAATGAAATCGTAGAAAATTCTACAATTATACATTACGTTTAAATTTAATTTACATTTAAGCTACATTTAATAAAAATATGACCACACAGATTTAATTTTAATAATAATCAAGTTAACGTTTTCTATGATGTTTGTAAAAGTTCGGTATAGAAAAGGCGAAATATCGGTCCGTTGAATTTTTGGTTCTAATGGAAATTAAACATAACGGGTTATAAAAATCATTCAAATAAAACTTAAAGGCAGGTTGATTGAAACAGTCTGTTCCATCAAAGTCTAACAGAATGGAGGCTTTG